ATTTATGTGGATGTGAAGTGTTTAAATAAATGAATTCAATAAGGATAATATTGGAATGTAACGTGAATAAAAATATTAATCTTTTAAATTTTTAATATTTTAATAGGGATAAATATATAGTGGAATGTATATATAATAATCGCGGATGTAAATAATGGCTCCCGATAATTATCTTAAACCCCTGCTTGGTAAGAATTAAAATCTAAAATTTAATTTAAGTCAAATTCAACAATTAACTTTAACCATATATTTCGTGGATTCCACAACTTTTTAACAACACATTTTGTTAACTTTTATCAAAATCTACTAAAAATAATATTTGTGATGACAATATAATCAATCTTTCGCAAAAGCCATGAAAGGGCGGGAACATTTGCTACAATTCATCGTTTTCAAAACATTGATTACTTAGAGCAGCTCCAATGAATTTTTTGAGCATAAGTTGTTCTCTATTTAAATAATCAACTTTTAAATTGTGCTCCCAAGAGGCTTTTTAAATTAACGTTTTAATCATAATGAAATGTATTCAAAATATTTCAATTTTTAATAGACTAAAATAATATAATAATTTAAAGGGACGTTAGTGAAAATAAAATATAGGGAAAATGATAAATATTTTTTAAAATTATTAAAATTAAATGTTAAATATAAAGAGTATGTTGGAGTACCTCACCTTCGTCGAATCCGAGAAATAAGGCTTCTTGAAATCAACTACCTGGGAAAGAAGGTCCATGTTTGAGTCACATTAATTTGAAGAAATATATTATAGAATAGTGATTGATGGAGACTGTGTGATTAAAAAATAAGGAAAAAAATTTATTTGCATATAATAGTATTTTAATGAAGGATATTTGGTTAAAAATGAATACTGTAGAAAAAATAATGAAAAATAATGTAAAGCAAAGAATAACAAACATGGGATTTTATATACTCTCTAAACTGAATAATGTGCTTTTTGAAAATAGAACGTCTCTTTAAAATGCTGTCAATGTTATATTATAATCCATTATCATATTATAATCTTCTACTCAAGTAAGTTCTTCATAAATGCTTGAAAAAAATTGATTTTTTTCATAATGTTTAATTTTCATCGAAATTGGATGCATTTTCCCAATAAATCATTTTTTTCCTGTTTGGTGAGTTAAAGATTATGTATTCAAATAAAGAGAAAAGATCTACTAAGCATCAATACTTCAATTATGTTAACTACCCATGATATGATATTGCACAGACATCAAGTAATTGGTAAATAAGTTATTATTAGATCTCAAAAATTAAATAATTTATCAATTGATTGATGTTTCGTGTTATCGATTCTTAATTAATCATTTCTCTGCAAGTAAATATGTATGTAATGTTTAGTGATCTTATATATTTAGATGAATATTAAAATCAGTGGAATTTCTGAGTTGAATTCAACTAAAATAAAAATTAAATGATCTTATTGTAATCAACTGATTTGAAATTTCAACGATAAGTGTTGACCCACCCACAATCAATCGAACTGTCCATTATCTTAGCTGTAAGGACTGAAAATGAAAAGGACATAATTTTTTATCTTATATTATAATAATTTTCTGTTAACACAAATGAAAATATATTAAAATAGTTTCTGAAATAAATTTATAATCACGTGGGAAGCCGAAAATGCGAAAAATAATACATGAGGAATTATTAGTTGGAATAGTAAAATCTCTATAAAATAAGAATGCTAGAATTGTAAAAAAATATTACTTTAGTGGAATTATTAATTTCTTAATAAATGAATAATTTATTATTTAATCGACAGATAACGTGAATCTATGTTACAAAAATGTGATGGATATCGAATGTATCTTCAATATCCTAGTGAAATGTTACGATAATGAAATAACTCATCGATGAACAGATTATTCCACAAGTATTGAACATGCTTATCAAAGATGATTACGATTCAAATGATAAATGTATTTTACAAATTGTTTCTCCAAAAGAAATATTTTTAAGGAAGTTACCTCAAATAATTATTTTCTATAAAATTATAAAAACAAAAAGTCTATGGGCCTATTTGGGCCCGATTTTTTCACCTAAAAAATTGATTTTTTGACCTTTATTTCACTATTCTAGCCGTCATATTTGACTTCTTCTCTCACAGGTGGACCGCACTTTTCTCCTGACGGTCAAAAAATCAATTTCCAAAATCATTCCCAAACAGGCTCTATATGTTTAGTTTCAGTACCAAGTAACTTTAGATGCATATTTTCATAGTAAAAAATTGAATCAAAAAGAAAAGTTATCAGTTAAAAACTTCCACGTATGTATATAACCCATTATTATACGTTTTTATTGGACCTTAAAGAATTTTAAATAGAATTATTTTTTATGCATTTAACGAGATTTTAATTAAGTGCACTATCTCGAATTGAGATTAAAAAATTTTATTATCTAAACAAAATTATTAATTTATCAAAAATTCACTCTATAACTGAAATTCTTGCTGAATATTCCCATTTAATTTAACATTTGTTTAGTATAGTTCTTTCTTTGGAAAATTGAATCACTGTTATTGAGCATAAATGTCATTTTCAATTCCTATTGCACATTTTTTTAGCTGCTCTAGTGCCAAAAAAAGTCTTTTTTTTTTTTTTGTGTCGACAGAGAAAATATAATTCGATTTTTTATATTAATTATAATAGCTCCTTGGAATTCACCCTTCGAGTGATGATACAAGAATTTTTTTTTTCCTTGAGAAAATATTTGTAAAATGAGATAAAGAATTTATTTTGTTGAATTGTTGCTCTCTGGCCTGCTCTATGAAAATAAATGAAGAGAAATATTTAAAAGTCGATATCGTACACTTGAATTTCCTACACATTTTGTTGCGTGCGAGACATAAATAAATTGTTGTCAATTTTTTCCCTATTGATAATAGTTTTACAACCACATTCCTAGTTAGACAATCTATTAGCTAACAATCACTTGGGTTTTCTGAATTTGTCAACTCTATGGATTAAGGTAGGATATTCCTATCCGGTCAAATCTAATAAATTTTGATCCGAAAAACACAGTTAAACAACTATAGTTTTATAAACAACTGGTTGCAATTATGTGCTTGTTTGGTACAGATTTTTAGTCAATTAAAATCAATTTTTTTATCGTCATTTCACTATTTCAACTGTCAATTTTGAATTCTTCTCTCACATGTAGGATCCACTTTATCTCTAATGGTCAAAAAATCAATTATCAAAATCTCTACCAAACAAACACTATATTTAATTTTCAGATATTGCAGCTACCGATGGTACGATTGGTTAGGACAAGTAATACTTTCTATCTAGCATTTATTGTCTTTAATTATACATTGTCCAATTTAATGTATAAAGGGCTCGTTTGACAGACTTTCTATTTTTACCTCTACTACTTAGAAAAAAGTGTTTTAAGTGTCAAACTCTCTTAATTAGTATTTTAAAATTAAATTTAAAAGAGCTTCTTTCCTTAGAAGAGCTTTCAGATGAAATCATATTGATACAGTTTCCTCTAAAATTTATTCTAATTAGAAGGCGAACTTCTTAAATTTAATTAAATGAATTCAAAACTAAATTTTGGGTCTCAAAACCTCATTTTTTAAAATTGTGCCAAACAAACCCTAAATTTAATTCTAAAGAATTTCATCTCATAATTGTTGTTATGGATGATTATTTTTTAATCCTTGATGTCATAATTGGACTTAATATATGGACATAGTGTACCCTGTTTTAATTGTGATAAAGATATATTCCACTTTAATCTTTATATTGCAGCGTGACAATAATATGGAGACAATTACTTCCCACCTACCCTTTTATGAAAATAAAACAAAAGGGGGAAAAACTAACTTAATCATTTTTCTAAGTATATTTTGAATTATTCTTTTACATAGAGTTCTTTGTACATTTCTATATGCAACTTCTATTCTTGTTATATGAAATAAATTTTCTCTAAAATGGGTAATATTAGCTTTTTTATGATAGGTTGTATAAAATTATATATGGCATGTGATTAGAACTTGAATGTGCATTTTATTTTAATCTATTATTCTATTCTCACGGAAACGAATATATTAGGACTTGTGGTGGACACATTCATAGTATCTATTGAAGAAAGTGATTATTAATTCATGAGTAAATACGTTACTTCAATTACATTGATGTTATCTGTCAATAATTATTATCAATAGAAACGCTACTTCAATTACAATAACACAATCGAAGAACACAAGTGTGATAAATTAATCTGTAAATTAACCCGGACAACTTAAAAAATTGATTTAGAGTAAATAAAATTTGATCAAACTTATAAATTATTTTGGAAAGAAAAAGAGATTAAAACAAAAACGAAAACACAAATAAAAAAATAAAAAATAAAGAGGGGCGGTGGCGGGGAATGTGAATAGCCAACGGTATTACATGAACTGTAATTGAGAGCTAACTTGACAAGTGGCCACTTATTCTGGAGGGCATTTTTGTCTATTCACGCTACACTTGAGGCCTGGATGGTCCCATTCATTTATTCCCTCTTCAATTCTAAGTCGTCCAAAATTCGCCAATTTTTTTTTTTTTTTTTTTTTTTTTATATCAAATGAAGTTTAAAAAACATTAACGTTAGTGACCGTTGTCTTACCCTACAAAACTCAACATTACAGACATAATCCGTATATAGCCTCTGTTTGGATTTGATTATTAGTAACTTTTAAAATCTTTTTAAAAGAAAAATAATGGCGAAATCACAAGTAACTTTTAAGTTACTTACCCAAACAGAGTGCTAGACCAACTGATGGGGCCACCCAATTCACTGCAATGGGACCTCCTCTCTCTCGACTGACCAACGTTTTCTCAGTTAGTTTGGATTCGATTAATGGTGAAATCACGAGTAACTTTTGTACTTATAATATTTCCCAAACAGAGTTTTACATATACAAATAAATCGTATACTAATACTAATAAAAATTAGATTAAAAAGAGAGAAACAAACCTAAACCTGAAGCCAAAACAGAGCTTCTATAAAGAGGGATTCTCTCTCTTTTTCTCCCTACCCCTCCTCTTTCTCTCTTTTCTTTCTTTCTGCATTGCTTCCTCTCTCTCTCTCTCTTTGATCCAAGCATACGTTTGCATTATTACAAGCTACTGGTTTCTTCTGACAAAGAGACAGTCACTTTCGTCTAATCGAAAATCTGCATTGGGTTTTTGTTTTTGAGCATAATTATAGTGGGGGTGTCTTGGCAAATTAGAGTGTGAAGTTTGAGCTAGTGTTTTCTGACATTCCAGCTCTTCCTCCATTAATTTCTTGCGTCCCTCAGAAGCAAAAAAAGATCAATATTCTTGCAGTTTTGGCAAAGAAAACCCCTATATATACACAAGCAGTTCGTCACTTTTCTATCAAGTCCCCTGTTTTTTATCCTATCCCCTGTCTTTTTTCACTCTCAAATGGACCATATTTCATCCACAACGTCGTTTGAGGGTGCTGGAGATGATATTACTGAGCAATTTAGCATAATTTGGGGCCAGATCAAAGCTCCATTGATTGTCCCTTGGCTTAAAGTTGCTGTATTTTTATGCTTGATACTGTCAGTCATGTTGTTCATTGAGAGAGTTTACATGGGCATTGTCATCACTCTTGTGAAAATTTTTGGTAGAAAACCAGAAAAACGCTATAAATGGGAGCTATTAAAAGATGATTTGGAGATAGGGAATTCAGCTTATCCCATGGTTCTTGTTCAAATCCCAATGTACAATGAAAGAGAGGTGCTTTTCTTCCTTGGCATATTTCTTGATTCATTCTTATGACATGCAAAAACTGATGGCGTTTCTTTACATGTAAATATAGGTATACCAACTGTCAATTGGGGCTGCATGTGGCCTTTCTTGGCCCTCTGATCGAATAATTATTCAAGTTCTCGACGATTCGACAGATCCTATAATCAAGGTCTGTCCCTTTCTTTTTACGTACATGAATTCCTTTGTCTGTAATACTGATTAATTTTCTTGATTTTGCTTTTGTCGTAGAATCTGGTGGAAATGGAGTGCCAGAGGTGGGCGGGCAAGGGAATTAATATCAAGTACGAAATTCGTGACAACAGAAATGGATACAAAGCTGGAGCATTAAAACAGGGCCTAAAGCACCCTTATGTGAAACAATGCGATTATGTAGCAATCTTCGATGCCGATTTTCAACCCGAACCCGATTTCCTCTGGAGAACCATCCCTTTCTTAGTTCATAATCCAGAACTTGCTCTAGTTCAGGCTCGTTGGAAGTTTGGTAATGACTCTTATATTTCATATTTGCTTAATTTATCACATTAATAATAATTACAAAGTGATATTAGACTGTCGGTGACAGCATATTGACAAGAAGTGGGTATCTTACTGGTCCATAGATACCACCATCTACAACTTTAGTTGGCCTTTTAGCTTCCAACACGTGTAATTTGTCTCATAATACAACTTCACATCAATGTCTCGTTTTAATCATGCTTGATATGCACTGTTAGACTCGACTGAAGTGGACAAAACAGAGTTGGTTTTGGAGGTTTATTTTGACTCATGAAAAGTTGTTTCTGCTGGTGGAAGTAAAATGGTAGTGAGAGTACATCTGGAAAAAGGTGATCTTTAGTGTTTGATTTCTTGATGAACACATATTCATGTCTGGTGGATGGACATAAATATCCCTACAGCCTTCTTGTTTTTCTGAAAAAAGCTGCCATGCATACCTTAAATAAATCCAAATAGGAAGTGCAAGATTTAGGGCCATCGCACGTGGCAGAAAATCTTCTATTCTCTAAAGGGGAATGGAGACAAACAATTGCATGTGCTGTGGTGGAAGTGGTGGACTTCAGGGCCCCTTCTTCTAACAGAAGATTTTGTTATTTTCTTTGCTAATGTTAATAAAAAATTATTTTGTTTCATTTGTTTACGTGGGACTTTATGTTTCAGTAAATGCTAATGAATGCTTGATGACAAGAATGCAAGAAATGTCACTAGACTACCATTTTACGTCCTACAATTGAATTGCATTGAGGTTCTATCTTTAACGATTGTTCTTTTAAACATGTAGATCACTCCATTTGCTGGTATTCTGGATCCTTTACGAGAATGTCATGTCACTACATCGGACTAAAGCTACCTTCATCGGCTTGTTGGAGGCAGGGAGAGTGAATGAATGGGTTGTCACCGAGAAACTTGGGGATGCCCTCAAATTAAAATCAGCCACGAAAGCTTCTAAGAAACCTCGACTAAGGATCGGAGAAAGGTATATCCATTGTATTCCTTTTCTGATTAATAAAGTAGGAATTAGGGGATTATCTACAATAGGCTAAAAATTTGACTTGTTTTATTCGACAGGCTCCATTTGCTAGAGCTTGGCGCTGGTGCTTACCTCTTCTTTTGTGGGTGCTATGACATGGCATTCGGGAAAAACCACTATTTCATCTACCTCTTCGCACAAGCAATGGCCTTTTTCATCGCGGGGTTTGGTTATATTGGGACATTCGTTCCACAGTCTTAGAGTGTCGTCCTCTTCAGAAATATTGGCAGTTTCTTCTTCTGCTCTTCATATTTTTTCCATATACTACTTACAATTCTTCGCTTGTAGAAAGAATGATATTATTCTTTTAGGTTAAGCATAAGAATTCGAGTTATATCTCGAATCATTTTCTTTGTTATATTGGACAAGTGTTCACAGAAGTTCATGTTCGTGTCCAAAGCACACTGTAAGATAAAAGTTTATGATTTTGGAGCCAGTTTTTCTTTTTCTAGACGTGTTAATATTTCATTAAGCCAATGACACAACAAGAATCACAGCTTTCATGATAGCAAAGGATTAGGTGTATTGGAGTTATTATCTTTCACCAGAACTTAAAATAGTGGACGAGACACAACAAGAATCACAGCTTTCATGATGGCAAAAGATTAGGTATATTAGAGTTATTATCTTTCACCAGAACTTAAAATAATGGACGAGACATTTATTTCTGAGAATTGACCAACTGCATATTTTAGGATAAAAGTCAGGCCAAGAAACAGGGGGCGATGTGCCAAGAAACAGGGGGCCGCTGTTTGAGAGACGCAACAGAAAGTTTGTGAGGTAGAGAATTCAATGCAGTGCAGGAAAACACTGAATTAATTAATTAGCTTGGGGAGTAAATAGTTTCAGGGGCGGACCCACAAGGGTCATGTAGGTTCAATTAACCCATAAAAATTTTGGTTTTTTTATTTTTTTCAAAAAATAGTTATTTTGACCCATTTACGACTTATTTTGACGCACTCATTACGAGATTTCAAATGAAGTCAAAAACCTTACATTTTTAATACCATTTCAAAATGTTTATGATCTAGTTTTTCGCTTGTTAATGGCATACTAAACATTCAATAGTAGCAAAAGTTACAACGTATCAAAGTAAAATGTTTCAAACTAGAATTTCGTTAATATGCTAACTTTCAAAATTTGCCGATAATCTACAAATCATTTACGTCATCTAGAAGCTCGTTACGAAAATCACCTCTTAATCATATTGAATGATCCAAACGGATATAAAAAAAGTTAAATATATGTCAAATGTATGTCTTCAAAGAGACATTTAGCTCGTTTTTCTTTAAAAATTTTCAATTATTTTATTAACGTTTATTATCTTTGTACGACAATTTTTTCAATATAATTTAAGTCATTTTATTAGAAAATTTTACATCGAATATGACGTTAAAATTTTTAGAATCGTTATAGATTAAATGTAATTGGAATTACTTTCAAATTACTTTGGCATTAAATTTAAATTTCATTTACCTCCTAGATTAAATGTGAATTTTATTTTGATTCATTTACTCCCTACATTCAATTTGATTTACTCGCCGTCATTCAACATTTGTCAATAAAATGGTACAAAATTATACAAATAACAAAATTTATTTAACAAAATTGATAATAATATAATTATAAGACTTTTTCAAAGTATCAAAATGCATATTAACATATTTTTATTAATATTATGTTTTTTTTTTAATAAAAAACACACTATAATTTTTTGTCCCACAACATAAAAGGTCTGTCCGCCCCCGAATAGTTTATGATCGAAAATAGGTTGGGAACAAAAGGACAACTAGGTTTGAGATGTGGAATGGTCAAGACAATATAGCTAGCAATCATAAAGAATAATGATATCCAATACAATTGGTGTTTAACAACGATCTAGACGACATCAATATATTACTAAATTACATGTTCGACAAGAAAAAAAGAATTTATGACTCGTTTGTTAGTTTCTATGACATGCTAACACCTGTACTGATACTAGATAGCATTATTAAATCATAAATAAGTAAAAAAAAGACATCTTATATAAGGAAAATCAGGTATCAACTATTAAGGAAATAATTTTTAGTCCCGATTAGCCCTGCTCATGTTCCCTTCATATTTTTATTCCATCATAGTATTTTCAATCATTAAAACCAATATAAAGTATTATAAAGTATCAACGTGTCTCAAGTACTAGTTAACATGTCTAATTATTAAATGTTCCTCCTTTGATTAATAGTTTGATAAAAGTCATAAGAACGTCAGACATATGAAAAAAATATTCAATTTAACAACAAAATCGTGAAAAAACAAGATTGAATGTTCTAACTAGCAATCTCTCGATTTTAACATGCAACAAATACCAAACATTTTAATTCTCATTAATAAATATGAAAATAAGTCATTCATATCAATTTAACACAATTTGTATGAAGTAAATCTCAAAATATTATTTAAACATGAGTAAGAGTCAAATAGCTACATCTTTCGTTGTAACAAATAGTCTAATTAAGAAACATGGTGAAAAAATCAAGGCAAGAAGAGTTTGACATAGATATTACGTGATAACATAGAAGCAAAAATATAGGATGAATCTCTTAAATTTTAACTTTACAATTCGAAGAGCCCCTACATTTGTATGCTTGAATTCTCCTTGATTTATCAACTTCTTTCTATGATTTCTCTCAAAAAGATAAACTTTCATGTGTTTTATTTGTTTCTGAGATGTATTTTTACTTCCTTCTCTTTATTCTTTTCTTGACCTGGATTTGGTCTTTATATAGCTCCTAAGATGTCTCAAAAATGGTGCATAAAAAGAACCCTACAAGTATTATGCTTTAGATCCAATCGATTTTGAACATTAAAACTTTTAATATATAATTGTTACATTCTATTTATGACAAATCCACTATTTGATTGAATTGACATTCTAATAAATTTCGTAGATTCAAATTTTAGTAACTTGTTAATTACAAGGAGTTGTGATTGTGATTCATAAATTACATGTGATTAAATCTTAAAATCACCCGTGATCGTAAGTAATAACAAGATGTGAATATCGTTATTATAGATAAACCATCATGTGTTGCATTTCTTACTTGTGAAGTAAGTAGCTAATATCACAAGTTAAACAATGATGACACTTAAATGAATACGTAAATATTTTGTTATAGAACAAAATATTGGAGACCCGCTGAAAATATTCTATATAAATACTTATTTGAGTATCAGCGATTAATCTTTAACTTCTAGCAGTGAAATTGGTATTTCGACTTGAGGTCATCACAGTGCCTTATATGAAGGCGGTCATATTTCGGTGATGTTGAATGTTGCTCTGCGAAGAGTTACTAATACTGCTCGTTCGAGTGTATCAAGAATCATATGAAGGTTATAAATTATCAATGGAGGATTCCTTACTTTTAGATAGTAAGAGATTATAATCTACATTTCATTCAGTTAAATTGATAACGAAATCCTTTTAGAGGATTCGACTTACATTGATTTAATAGTGGTAAAAAAGATATGATCGATAATTGATATTGAAATGCTTCATATCTCATAATTAATCAGATTATATTGACGAATGGATTATAGCTTCACACGAATGAGTTTGGTTTTGTAATATCACATAACATTTTTCATCACATATATTGTCCTGACACATTGTTAGATATCAATTTATGACTATAAATATGAATTGGTGATAAATTAAAAATTGGTATTTTAATTTATCGATTTTAATTGGATCAAAATAACAATTCACATTGTTAGCATTGTGATTGAGAACCTATTGAGTCACACACAAAAGCAGAACTAAAAGAATGATATTTATTAATTAATTGGCAAGCGTTGGACAATTAATTGATTGGATTGCTTGTTAATAAACTCGAGTGAATTAATTAATTTATGGACCAAATTTAATTAATTAAATATTGAACATGGTTAAGTTTAAGGGACGGACCAAACCCACTTAAACTTCTATCAATAAACTGTTAGGGTTTGAAAACATAACATCTCAATTATTATCTTGCTAGCACAAGAAAAGAGCATCCTTAATTCTCTCATTCTTGTTTCCTGTATGAATTTTTATTTGGGGTTGGACAATTAGACAATATGGATTGCAAATCGTGATTATATGTGTTCCAAGATTAGCAAAGGAATTTACAAAAATTAGAAAATTTATTATTCTTATTACAGTGTCTATCAAATACAAAGCCGATTCATGGTGGGAATTAAAATTATTTAATTTTTCGTTGTGCATTATTAAGTAAATTTCCAACACTATGTCCTTAAGTTTGGAATGAAATTAACTTTTTAAAACCTGACTGGACATGCTAGGTGCCCGCCCCAGTCCTGGGAATCCGTAGACATAAATTTTTTGAATTGCGATTCATTTTTGTGTTGAACTTCAAATTCAAGTATCTTTAAATGATTCATCATTTGTCCTGAGATGAGTTTTGAACCAAAATTTGTTCACTAATTTCCTCACGTAGGTTCCTCGTTTGACATCTTTTGATCCTTTTATGCTCCAAATTACTTTATTTTGCATCAATTATCTTCAAATATGAGGTTTAAACTAGAAACATATTATTACACTAACATGATTGGGCGCCAGATTGCTGCGCGTCCAGTGGTAGGCCGGCCGCCTGGATTGTACGTGTGAGAGGGAAGGCAGCGTTGCCTGTGGTTGGTTTAAATTGGGTAAGATTTTAGGGTTTGATTAATATAAGTTTTTAAATTAAAAATAATAATAGTTACAAACCTGGTTTTTGAAGAAATAAACTTCTTACCTTGATTATGAACTGTGATTTTTAAAGACCTGCTTTTATGTAATTTCCTCTAAAGTATTTTACATATACTCTATTACCTGCAACTGTTTTGGTACATGAAGGCCCAATTAGTTCTGTAAGTTAAAAATAAAAATAAAAAAATTAATGGAAATTCTTTTTTATTTTTCAATGTATTAACCTAGTATAAAAAATAAAAATAAAAATCCTAATTCATTTCCCTGGCCTGTTTGCTAGGCTCTTTTACAATACTAATCGCAGTCAACGTATTCATTCTTAAAAAATTGAATAATGCTATCTAACACAATTAACGCTATAACAGCAACTTAGGAAGTGCTATGTGATTAATCATGCACAACAAAAAACTAAAACAATTTCAATTCTCATTAAGGATGTGCTTTGTATTTAAATAGAAATTGTGATAGGAATTAAATATTTGTTAAATTCTGCAAACTCCTTCACTTATCTTGAACAGGAACAATCATGATCTGCAATCTTCAGCTGTCTAATTATTCACCCTCCATTGAAAATCCACACGGAGAACAAGACTGAGAGAACCAATATTTCTTTTCTTGTGATAGTAAGAATATAATTATGTTGTGTTATTATTTCCCAAACTCTAGCAGCCTATTAATAGAAGTCCAAATGAGCTTGACCTATCTATTAAACTTAATC